GGTATGATTAGCATGTTCCTCCGTCGCAAGTTCAATTGATGCACGTCAGTCCTAAATCCAACTTTTTGATATTAAGTATTGAGAGATTTTATTTTTCGAAATTTTGTAAAAAAACATACCATATGATGCTTTCGACGGTTGAACATACTTAGCCACCCAGCATCCTTTAATTTATGTGAAATACGCATAGGACGCCGTATTCCATATATCATTCTCATACAAGAATTTTGAACCTTCTGTACTCTTCTTATATCAGAACTATCGATACAAAGTCCATAAACTACGACACAATGATTGAAATGGGGGAGAACCATACTATCACACAGCTTGATTTTCAATTTGTAGTTCAGAAAGTGTCTTTGACTGTGAATAAGTTTCAATGACATATATGCATTTTCTAATTTTTGGGTAATATGGTGTTTGAATCGTAACTTATTATCCATAATCAGTCCAAGATTCTTACAATAATCAGCAACTTCAATCTTATCTCCTCCTACCCTTATTGTCATTATGTTCTTTGCTGAGGTCACTTCCTGATCAGTGCCAAATAAGAGTGCAACAGATTTAGCTGAGTTGATTTTTAATGAATTTGTGAGGGTCAGTAATTGATTTAGGTCAGAATTGATGCCGTCCGTAGCTTCCGCTAGATCACAAAATTTGAAAGAACGATATAGCTGTGTGTCATCTGATTAAAAATGGTATTTACAGTTTGTCAGGTGTAGAGAGAAGTTGCTAGTATAAATGGTGTATAATAATGGTCCCAAAATACTTTCCTGTGGAACGCCATGACATATGTCCACAGAATCACCAGTTCACCTGTTGCGACCTACCTGATAGATAAGACTCAATAATTGAACATGCAGTTGCTGTGAATCCAATGAAATGTAAGATAGAGACAAGAATATCATGTCTTAAGGGATCAAATGGCTTGGAGTAATCAAGTAGAACTAGAGCACACATTTCATTATTTTCAATTGACCTCAATATATCATCAGCAATAGCACACAGTGCTGATGAACACCAGACCTGAATCCACTCTGATATCAGGGAAGTATATTATTATCTTTGATGTGTGTTCTCATTTGCAGTTCAAGAAGTTTTTCTAATATTTTCGATAGGGTTGGCAACACGCTTATACTTCGTAGGTGACTGTATTCCGTTGGGTTACTGATTTTTGCTAATGGGAGTACATAAACATGCTTCCTAGCTTTAGGAAAGTAACAACAATTCAAACATTCATTCACAACATGAGTGATGTATACAGCGTGACTCACGGTCGATGGTAGGTTAGACGTTTCTGGAAAACGCAAAGCATGATTTTTCTGAAAATTCCACCTCTCACATTTCCTTGGTGGTCTATATACTGTACCTAGATCATACTTTACTCCTTCTATTTTTACCTCAAGCCATAACTGTTCTAAAAACTCCAGAGTATCTTTCAGAATAACCCTAGTATTTAATCCATCTCTTATATGTATATACAGCAGTCCCCCCACCCCTTCTGACCAGCCGATCATTTCTCACTAGTTTATATCCTTCAACTGAAACTGCAGCACAAGATATGCTTGGACGTAACCATGTCTCAGAAATACCGATTATGTCATAGCTATTATCATTAATATGAACATTTAACGCATTTAAATGAGATCCCAATGATCGTACATTCACATGTGCAACGGATAAAAGTATTGCCATTTGAGAATTAATATACACAGATAGAGAGAGAGAGAGAGAGAAAAGAGGAAAAAAATGTCATTTTGAAGCAAATATAATAACAGAGCGGGAAATCCTCTGCATAAATTATAAACAAAATAATGAATGTTTTAACAAGCAAACAAAAATATACACAAAAATGTTTTTCCAAGTAATGAATAGGCAGAAAGAAATATATCACTGTTAGATTCACAGCAATGAAGCAAATTTAAATCCAATCCAATCTGCTGCGTGTCGTTACTTTTCCATCATTAGTTAACAGTCGCGAAATGAAATTGTCTTTACTCTGATTTTGGTTGACGTGGCCTTTTCTTTCTGAGGAGGGATCTGTCGAATCAGAGGTACCGCCGCTTGCGGTTCCTAAGACACCTGATACTTACTACACCATCATTCAATTGTTGAGCCGTATATGTGAGTCTTTTTCAATTTCAAGTCCAAAAATAGCTACACCGTTTCTCCTTAGTCTCCGCTGAATCCACGTAGTTCGATGTTGCAAATGAAAAATATAATCAGCCTTGCTCTCAATTTTCGAATTTAACTCTGAGATACTTTTGAACAATTTATTTTCCAAACAACTCGCTTGCTCCTGACACAACTTTTCGAACTTAGTGGTCTGTTCTTCATTAGTTTTCTGAATTAAGCTGAATAATTCATCGGGTTTCAAGTTAGTCATATTAAGCTATGAGATTTTCGAGAGCTATTCAGACCTGAAATGACTCATGGTGCAAAAGGATTATAAAGATTTCAAAGTAAAAACAGAGATAATGATAAAATCTACCGACTTTATATGGCTGTTTCAGAGCAATATACCATACTGATTGATTTTTCGAGTGCATATAATGGATATTTCAACGTTTTGTTTGAATAAATTGATAGGTAGTACCTTGCTTAAGATCTGAAGAAAAATCTTAAAAATATACACAAAAATGTTTTTCCAAGTGATGAATAGGCAAAAAGAAATATATCACTGTTAGATTCACAGCAATGAAGCAAATTTAAATCCAATCCAATCTGCTGCGTGTCGTTACTTTTCCACCATTTGTTAACAGTCGCGAATTGAAAATGTCTTTACTCTGACTTTGGTTGACGTGGCCTTTTCTTCCTGAGTTGGGATCTGTCGAATCAGAGGTACCGCCGCTTGCGGTTCCTAAGACACCTGATACTACACCATCATTCAATTGTTGAGCCGTATATGTCTGACCTTCTATAATCAAGTTATATCCTCTGATAGTTGCACGTAGATTTCGTTCACGTGCGCGTTTCATATGATCCTTCAAAATCTTCAGTTGGTCTCTATCCTCCTGACACATATCATTGACAATGACGATTCCAGTTCCTTTCAATTTATGGATATTGGAAAAGATAAGAGTTTTTTTCATATAGGAAATGAACACCAATATGATTGGATTTTTCTCAGATTTTCCAGCTACATATACATTATTAATATCAGCTTCTGTTAAGTTCACATCAAGGACCTCGTTTAGTTTTAGAAGTGTTCCCTGGGCTAAAGAGTCTTTTTCAATTTCAAGTCCAAAACTAGCTACACCGTTTCTCCTTAGTCTCCGCTGAATCCACGTAGTTCGATGTTGCAAATGAAAAATATCATCAGCCTTGCTCTCAATTTTCGAATTTAACTCTGAGATACTTTTGGACAATTTATTTTCCAAATAACTCGTTTGCTCCTGACACAACTTTTCGAACTTAGTGGTCTGTTCTTCATTATTTTTCTGAATTAAGCACAATAATTCATCGGGTTTCAAGTTAGTCATATTAAGCTATGAGATTTTCGAGAGCTATTCAGACCTGAAATGACTCATGGTGCAAAAGGATTATAAAGATTTCAAGGTAAAAACAGAGATAATGATAAAATCTACCGACTTTATATGGCTGTTTCAAAGCAATATACCATATTGATTGATTTTTCGAGTGCATATAATGGATATTTCAACGTTTTGTTTGAATAAATTGATAGGTAGTACCTTGCTTAAGATCTGAAGAAAAATCAGTCACACTGCACTTTGAACTACTATGAATTGTCAATAGATAAGGAGCCCATTTTAACACTACCGAACACCTTTTTGACTATCTACTCTATCTGGATGGAATCCAGCAGCTTCAGGGTATGCTTAGGGGCGGAGATCCATTCATGAGAACAATACTCCACAGAAAGTCTGATCTGATGTATCAATAGTTACGACGTCATTCAGATTTAGAATGAATGTTTTTATAACTCCCTCTATACAGGGTGTTCCTTAAACACATGCTAATATTTAAAGAGGTAATTCTTAGACTCATTTTAAGGAAAAAACGTCCTATGGACGTATGTCCTAAACGCCTTAACTTTTGAGATACAGGGTGGCAAAGTTTTCAAAAATAATCAGTTTTTTAATAATAACTGAGATAATTTTGTAGACATCTTTGGCATATTTGGTACATATGTTCCATGCCTC